CTCAGATTGGTTCGGATGGGATGAACTAACCCTAATTTTTTTTTTGGCTTTTTCGTGGACTATAGGTATGAAGAACAGACTCGATCTAAACTACGAAAAACTGTAAAATCTCACCGAGCAACCTGGAAATCTGATACCACTTGATAGAGGCGGAGGTGTCCCGTCTTTCGATGAGATGGTGGATTTCGCTTTGGTGGAAGTCGACTTTGACGATCCGACTACGAACGTGCGAGGACGTCGCGCCTTAGCAATCGCTAAACCAACTCCGAGAGGTTATTGACCACGCCGGAGCACGATCAACCTAACCACGAGGGTCTGTTTCCTGCGAGCAAACGAAGAACAAGCAAGAAACTAAGATTGCAATCTGGATATTGCGAATATAAGATGAAAGCTTTATTGATCAAGGTGGGGTTCTGTGACGCCTTTGTCTGGTCGTTGAACACAAACGAAGTACGCGAAGTTGCAGCTATGGCGAACTTTTAATCTAAACAAAACCCAAAGTCTAAACGATGCCCTAAGGGCTGTATATATGGAGGAAGAGGGGGGGGGGATTTCGTGGCCCTTGGTGGAGGGATCCGAAATCAACCCTATCTCTTGTTTCCCCACACATACGGACTCTAAAAATAGCCTATACTTATGTATTTCGAAATTACATGGGCCTGGCCCAATAATAAGGTGACGCAGCACCTAAAATAGCCTCGGGACGAAATTTATGAAGTGGCATCTTGTATATTTCGTCCAAGGCTTCATGCACCCATTATGGTGGCTTCAAAGTCCTGAAATCATCACTTGTAACTCCGTTCTTGTTCCCCTTGCGCATGCCATCATCTCCTTGCTTGTTCTTTGATAGAGGCGAGGGTCCCGATCTTTCGATGAGATGATGGATATCGCTTTGGTGGAAGTCGACTTTGACGATCCGACTACGAACGTGCGAGGACGTCGCGCCTTAGCAATCGCTAAACCAACTCCGAGAGGTTATTGACCACGCCGGAGCACGATCAACCTGACCACGAGGGTCTGTTTCCTGCGAGCAAACGAAGAACAAGCAAGGAACTAAGATTGCAATCTGGATATTGCGAATATAAGATGAAAGCTTTATTGATCAAGGTGGGGTTCTGTGACGCCTTTGTCTGGTCGTTGAACACAAACGAAGTACGCGAAGTTGCAGCTATGGCGAACTTTTAATCTAAACAAAACCCAAAGTCTAAACGATGCCCTAAGGGCTGTATATATGGAGGAAGAGGGGGGGGGGGGATTTCGTGGCCCTTGGTGGAGGGATCCGAAATCAACCCTATCTCTTGTTTCCCCACACATACGGACTCTAAAAATAGCCTATACTTATGTATTTCGAAATTACATGGGCCTGGCCCAATAATAAGGTGACGCAGCACCTAAAATAGCCTCGGGACGAAATTTATGAAGTGGCATCTTGTATATTTCGTCCAAGGCTTCATGCACCCATTATGGTGGCTTCAAAGTCCTGAAATCATCACTTGTAACTCCGTTCTTGTTCCCCTTGCGCATGCCATCATCTCCATGCTTGTTCTTGCTCCAATGTTCATCCTTCTCCAAGCTAGGCCCTTCATTTGTAAGCAAAACAAATGTATCCAATTTAGGCAGCATCATATTCTCATGAATATTAGAATCATTACCAAGAAACGAAAGTACCTGGTAATTTAGTTGGCGTGCACGAGCTCTAGTAATTGGTCCAGTATGTATAGCAGCAGGGGCTGTGGGTGTAACAATTGTATTGATGTCCTCATCACTTACCCATACCCATCAATGGGTATAATTTTTTCTCATACCCGTTACCCGACAGGGTACATGGGTACCCATGGGTAAAATTAGCCATGTTTGCAAATCATCAGTTTGAACTGCTCATAGTCATAAAAACAACATATAATTATAATCTATAAACACCAATAGATTATAACAATAACAACACACTTTTAAACAACAACAAATATCATAAACAACATCATACTCCCTCCGTCCCAAAATTCTTGTCTTAGATTCGTCTAGGTACAGATGTATCTAATACTAAAACATGACTTAATACATCCGTATTTAGACAAATCTAAGACAAGAATTTTGGGACGGAGCGAGCATTTAATAAACAACATCACCTTCTCGTAAACAACAACACATCAAAACATCATCACACAGTCGTATATTTTGAGTTCATGTAGATTTTATATGGGTACATGGGTATGTGGGTATGGGTTACATGATCTGATACGCGTACCCACTCTACCCGATGAGTTTAACATTTTCCTATTCATATACCCATGGATAATTTTTTGTCCCATACCCTTACCCAAATAGGGTTTTTATCCGCAGGGTACGTGGGTATGTGGTAGAGGCAAAGGTGTCCCATCTTTCGATGAGATGATGAATATTGCTTTGGTGGAAGTCGACTTTGATGATCCGACTACGAACTTGCGAGGACGTCGCGCCTTAGCAATCGCTAAACCAACTCCAAGAGGTTATTGACCACGCCGGAGCACGATCAACCTGACCACGAGGGTCTGTTTCCTGCGAGCAAACAAAGAACAAGCAAGAAACTGAGATTACAATCTGGATATTGCGAATATAAGATGAAAGCTTTATTGATCAAGGTGGGGTTCTAAGACGTCTTTGTCTGGTCGTTGAACACATACCAAGTACGCGAAGTTGCAGCTATGGCGAACTTTAATCTAAACAAAACTCCAAAGTCTAAACGACGCCCTAAGGGCTGTATATATGGAGGAAGAGGGGGGAAATTTCGTGGCCCTTGGGGAAGGGGTCCGAAACCAACCCTATCTCTTGTTTCCCCACATATACGGACTCTAAAAACAGCCTATACTCAAGTATTTCGAAAATACATGGGTCTGGCCCAATAATAAGGTGACGCATCACCTAGAATAGTCTCTGGACGAAAGTTATAAAGTAGCATCTTGTATATTTCGTCCAAGGATTCATGCACTCATTATGGTGGCTTCAACGTCCTGAAATCGTCATTTGTAACTCCGTTCTTGTTCCCCTTGCGCATGCCATCATCTCCATGCTTGTTCTTGCTCCAATGTTCATCCTTCTCCAAGCTAGGCCCTTCATTTGTAAGCAAAACAAATGTATCCAATTTAGGCAGCATCATATTCTCATGAACATTAGAATCATTACCAAGAAACGAAAATACCTGGTAATTTAATTGGCGTGCGCAATCTCTAGTAATTGGTCCAATATGTATAGCAGCAGGGGCTGTGGGTGTAACAATGGTATTGATGTCCTCATCAGTATGTGTACCCATTGCCATCCCTACATCGCCGAGCCCACCTACGCGTCACGACCAGAGGCTTTGCAGGCAAAGACCACCTTTAGTTAGGATAGGGTTTACTCTTGTCCCTCTTCGAATTTGGCCGCTATGACATCCCTTCCCGCTTAGAGTTTTCGGGGAAGAGGATCAAGGCTACTATAAGTATAGGTTAGTCTCCACCTTAGAGAGGGATCAGATCGAGTGGTCAAACCCTGAGCCTCACGAGGCAGTTCATCCTTGTACTAGTTCATACTCATCCTCTCCGCCAGGAAATCCACCACAAAGCAAGAGTAGCGTCTTACACCGCAAGGTGGCTCGAACCTAGGTAAATCGTCACGTTCCTTCCTTCTTCCCTCTTCCTTGAGCACGTCGGAGCAAGGCCGTGAGGCAGCGAGCAGGGTGTTGTAGCCTAGCGAAGTTCTTCGCGCACACCTCAGAGTTCGAACCTTTCGTTGGATCCCCGGAGCCCCGATTCCGACATTCATCCATTCGTCTTACGAAACCTCAACCAAGTAGGGGTCCAATGATGGCGCCACCCACCAAGGATAGGGTCATGGACCTGACATGTAGGGCCTGCCTAGGGCCCCACACAATCATTGGAAGGTCTCCGGACCATGGGCACATTCGGATGCGCACTCCATGGCATCCACTCGGATACAACCTATCCATTTGGATGTTTTCCCACCAGTCGGCCTCACCAACACCACTCGGAGCGACGTGGGAGCTGCAACGGTCGAAAGGCGTAACGTTGGGCTTCAAGTGTAGTTATAGCGGTAGTTTTCAGTAACGCCTATAGTTACTCCCCCTCTTATCTCCCCTTATGACGTAGCAGTAATGAGGGCAGGCACACTCTATGTAACCCCTCTCTGGCACCATGACAAGGGTTCGCAACCTATTGTAATAAGACGCCTTCAAAGAAAACAAAACTTTAGAGCTCGAGACGTAAGGTTATTATCTCTTTGAGAGGAGACTGAACTCGTAAATTCAAGTGTCACATCTGTATACCAGGTTCTGCCCCCTGTTTGTACCCCTGCTATCACGATCAGATTCGTTGCCTCTACGGGTAATCGGATACTCGCCACGACTGCCCCCGGAGCACAGGCTGAGAGCAGCCAAGCCTTGTCCGCCCAGCTCCGCCCGCGCTTCCGGAAATCGGCAGGCAGACGATCTCCGGTCGGCCACCACGATGCTCACCTTTCCTTGGGCACCCAACAACCGGCCCCAGCACTCAACCAGGGTCGTCGTTCCACGTCAGCGCCTCGTCCTCATCTCATCCCAATTCCCAACCACACCAACCCCCCACGTGCTGCTGCTGCTGCACACCGGCCGCACCCGGTAACCCAAAACCACCTCTCACATCACCCACCCACCCACCATCACGCACCGCGGGTCCCTCGGGCGAGATGGTCCCACTCGACATGGACAAAAGGTCACGGGTTTATCGCGCGCGTCCCCGTCGGCGCCCAGGCTCCGCTCCGCTATAAGTACGCGCCCCTCCCGCTACTGCTGTTTTTTTTCCCATTTACCTCCGCGGAACCACCTCGCCTCGAGATTCGCGCGGCCGTGTCTGCCTCTGGGTCCTCGCTTCCGTTGTCTAGCGTCCTGAGCTAGATCTCTCAGCTCGCTCTTCGCCGGCGCTTTAGGCTTAGATCTGGCTGGGGCGAGTAGGCGGAGGCCGGCCGCGAATTCGTGACGAGGGAGGGGAACCATGGAGCTGGGGGCGGCCGGGATGCGGCGGTCGGCGTCGCACAACTCGCTGTCCGGGTCCGATGACTTCGACCTCACACACCTGCTCAACAAGCCGCGGATCAACGTCGAGCGCCAGCGCTCCTTCGATGACCGTTCGCTCAGCGACGTCTCCTACTCCGGTGGCCACGCCAGAGGAGGCGGAGGCTTTGACGGCATGTACTCCCCGGGCGGCGGTCTACGCTCTCTGGTCGGCACGCCGGCCTCCTCGGCGCTCCACTCTTTCGAGCCCCACCCCATAGTCGGCGACGCCTGGGAGGCCCTCCGCCGCTCCCTCGTCTTTTTCCGCGGCCAGCCGCTTGGTACCATCGCCGCTTTCGACCATGCATCCGAGGAAGTCCTAAACTATGATCAGGTAGTACAAGCAATGTACTTTTTTTTCTTTCTCAATGTTATAATGAATCGAAATTTCAAATCAGAATTAAATTTATGAAAGAGTAGCATGTTATCGACATATGCTTATCTGACTTAGGGGGGGTTTCTCTGCAGGTGTTTGTGAGAGATTTCGTGCCCAGCGCCATGGCATTTCTGATGAATGGCGAGCCGGAGATTGTCAAGAACTTCCTGCTCAAGACCGTGTTGCTGCAGGGTTGGGAGAAGAAGGTTGATCGGTTTAAGCTTGGCGAGGGGGCCATGCCTGCAAGCTTTAAAGTGCTTCATGACGATAAGAAGGGTGTTGATACCCTGCACGCGGATTTTGGTGAGAGCGCAATTGGGCGGGTTGCACCAGTGGATTCGGGCTTCTGGTGGATCATACTATTGCGGGCCTACACAAAGTCCACGGGGGATTTGACTCTGGCAGAGAGGCCGGAATGCCAGAAGGCGATGAGGCTCATTCTGAGCCTGTGCTTGTCTGAGGGATTTGATACCTTCCCGACATTGCTATGTGCTGATGGTTGCTGCATGATAGATCGTAGGATGGTAAGTTATGGACTGGCACTTCCAATATGTTCAAGTCTAATAAGAGTACATTTCACAGGACTGCAAATTTCCTATTCTATTAATCAATGAATTACCACATCTGTGACTACTGACATACATACCATTCTTTTGGGCTAACATTTCATAGAATTACCGATGTGTGGATATTTCTTTAAACTTTCAAAATTATTGAACAATTGATTGTACTTTGCTGAAACAAGGGTGATTAGTGAAAGTTCTATCAAATTTACGCAATCATTTAACAACTGAATATGAGATAGGAATTCAACAAGTTTCTTGTCATATAGACAAATACATGTCTTTTCATCAAGTCCCAGAGAAGCTCAAACAAGTCTCATGTCTGTTTCAGCAAATGTCAGTACTTTCATATTTTTTTATATAATTGAAGATCTATCAAACAAATTGTAGCATTGTGGTATCTTTAGCCCAAGGTAATGGTAGGTCTGTATAATTGTTGAATTGGCCATAGAAGTCCTATAAGTAAGAAAAAAATAGTGCTAGTTCTGTAAAATTTATTCATATAAATTTATACACCTAATATTATGGAACGGAGGGAGTATTGTCCTAATTAAAGATCAAATATCATGGTCGAAGTTATCTTGGTCTGAAATTAACGCTAAATCTTTTCGAGATGTATCTCCAAAACAATATACTCCCTCCTTCCCAAATTATAAGGCACGGTTTGACTTTTCTGGTCTTCGTTGCACAACTTTGACTATATTTTTTATGTATTATATGTCTATAAAATTATTATACATACATATGAAATAAAATTGCTTTGCAAGACAAATACAGCGATGTCATTTATACATGTTCAATCCATATACTTTGATATATATTAATGGTCAAAGTTGTGCATCAAAGACCGTAAAAAGTCAATCGCGCCTTATATTTTGGGAAGGAGGGAGTATTTCAGTTTGACATTTACTGCTGTAACGTTGTCATCTTTACTTTGTGAGGTTTTAATGGTTTGTTTGCTTTTGTTGTTCTCTGTTCAAGTACATAATATATGACGAACAATGTGCTCATAGCTTTGTTACGGTTTCACTTATTGTGTATCTTCATATAAATAAATGCGGTGCCCCCTTTTCATACTTATTGGACTTGCAAAATTGTTTCCTTTTGTTCTGGTGAGTTCACGGCGATTTGGACTTGTATGCCTTCGGTCATTTTTCTCCATCAATCAAATATCTAATTGTTTTAGTTTGACGGTGTGCTGATTTTCATACCACGACGGTGCTTCCAAATTTTCATGTCTGATATACTAGAGTGCAATATCCTTGGCCCAAAAGTAATCCGAATGCCCGTGTTTTGTTTGACGAGGTCCAGTTAGATACACAAATCATACTATATCCACGATGCTGCAACACTCGATATGCCCCCATCGATACGGGCTTCCCAAGTCCACTACCTCCTTCAGTTGGTCCACCTGAACCTGTTGTTACATCTGCATGTGAGCAACCTTGCACTATCATTGAATTCGGCAACGTTTCGCCTTTTGTGATATGTTTTTCTGAAGGAGGATATCCCCCAACCTCTGCATCATGTTGTGCACACAACTACCCTTCTGTGATGTGTAAATTCACAAGTATTCCTTTCATTCTGTAGAACTGCAGATTAGGAATATGACTAATATTAAAACATCCATTTATTTGTAGCAACTTTTGTAGTGGCTTTGTAATAACCATTTCTTGGATGATGCATGTTACTCATTTTTGCGTATGCATGTGCCCTCTATGAGCTATGAATTCTATTTAATTAAGTGAAATGCCCTCTATGAGCTATGAATTCTCTTTAATTAAGGGAAATGCTATCATGTTCTCTGCTTGTGCTTCTTTTCCCCATTCTCACTCCAATCTTTTTTTTTGTAGGGTGTGTATGGCTACCCCATTGAAATTCAATCCCTTTTCTTCATGGCACTAAGGTGTGCTCTTCTAATGCTTAAACATGACGCTGAAGGGAAAGATTTTGTGGAGCGGATTGCAACTCGTCTTCATGCTTTAAGTTATCACATGCGGAGTTATTTTTGGCTAGATTTCCAGCAGCTAAATGATATTTATCGTTACAAGACGGAAGAATATTCTCATACAGCTGTCAACAAATTTAATGTTATTCCAGATTCTATTCCGGACTGGCTATTTGATTTCATGCCTTGCGAGGGTGGTTTTTTTGTTGGTAATGTTAGTCCTGCAAGGATGGACTTCCGTTGGTTTGCACTTGGAAACATGATTGCCATAGTGTCATCTCTTGCTACACCTGAGCAATCCATGGCCATAATGGATCTCATTGAGGAGCGCTGGGAAGAGTTAATTGGTGAGATGCCTCTGAAGATATGCTATCCTGCTATTGAGAACCATGAATGGCGTATCGTGACGGGATGTGATCCAAAAAATACGAGATGGAGTTACCACAATGGAGGATCTTGGCCAGGTTATTGCACTTTGTGTTACTTGGATCTCTGTATGTAATATATGTGAAAATTATCGTGCTTTTGTTATGTTCGTGTATGAATTAGGCTTAGTTTGTGGTTGCTGAATCATGTTGTGTTCTTAATTTTTAATCCATTGTAGGAAATTAGCCACTAAAATAGGCAAAAAAGACCAAACAAACACTAAACTAGGGGAAAGTGGATTGATCAAACGAGATTACCATAATCCACCATAATGCCTAGCACTGCCTTAGATTTTAAATTAAATTCAATGATAACCATCATAACTTTATATTTTAGCATGTAGAGGAAGGTAAACTTATGCTAAGCATGTCAACAAGATGAACTGTGATTTACACCTTCCATAAGTTTTTTAATGAGCCGCTTTTTCTGTTGATAAGAGAAATACCTGCATGATCTCTCCTTTTGTGCTCCATTTTTTGGTTTGTTTTAGTTTTCTCATATTTCTAGTATAAATCTGAAACATGACATTGAGTTAAGCTGCAACAACCATTGCATACGACTTCGTTTTTCATGCATCAAACGTTCTCCCTGCAGTACTTCTCTGGCTGCTCACGGCAGCAAGCATCAAAACTGGACGGCCGCAAATTGCAAGAAGAGCAATTGACCTAGCTGAGAGGAGGCTGTTGAAGGATGGCTGGCCTGAGTATTACGATGGTAAGCTTGGAAAATATGTTGGTAAGCAGGCAAGGAAATTTCAGACTTGGTCCATTGCCGGGTATTTGGTCGCCAAGATGCTGCTGGAGGATCCTTCGCATCTTGGTATGATAGCCTTGGAAGAGGACAAGGCAATGAAGCCAGTTTTGAGAAGGTCCGCCTCATGGACAAACTGATATATCGACAAGAGCTTTAGGGGGTCAACGTCTGGATTGAAAACACGAATTATTCGGGTAGCATTTCTCTGCTCATCCCTTGTTTTGACTTTCCCAACGGAAAGTTTTATTTTCTTCTGGATTCCTCGGCTGTACAATATCTCAGCTCATTTATTGAGTTGGAAAAGAAGCAATTGTGGAAATGAGTATTCTCTTTTCTTTTCTTTTCAATCCATCGTTGTAAGAAGATACTATTGATTCTTGCTTGGTCATTCCGTAGTAACGGGATCTTTGACTCAAAACTTTGTTGTTTGGGTTGACTATATAGACGAGTCTGCTGATCCAGCTTCCTATGATGAACATAAGTGTTTATCTAACGAATAAAGAGTGCTCCATTCTGCTAGTGCATATCAGTTCCGTTCTTCTTATGACTTCTCAAAGCGAGGCATAAATAGTGTGGTTCTTATGACTTCTCAAAGCGAGGCATAAATAGTGTGGTTCTTATGACTTCTCAAAGCGAGGCAGGGTGGCGTGTTACTTTCTACGTAGAATTTTTTTAAAGTAAAATGCATCATAAGTCCTACAACTATGCGATGTGTGTCAATCTAGTCCTAAAACTTCAAAAGTGCAGATTTGGGTTCCAAATGTTTTGAAGGCGTACAACCCTGGTCCCAAACTCGCTGCAGCTGCATTGACCGGTGGACGTGGCGTTTGGACCGTTGCCACCTGGACCTGATGGACCCATCCAGTAACCGTCACAGCATACATTTACAGCAAAGCCCTTGGGAACGTGTTTCATCTGATTTGTTTCATCTGATTCTCACACTCCGGCTCTCTTCCACGCACAAAGCTTTGGGGAGGCGGCAACATGGAGGCGACCGACGACGTGTGTGCTTGATGCCTGGCGACGAGAGGTGTAGAGCCTGATCTGGTGTGTGCTCATACGACGGCTCTGGTCTGATGGCGCCATTGCGGCGGCTGCCCAACGACCCTCCTCCTGAGTACTGTAAGAACCCTAATCCTAATCTCCTACCCCAAACTTTAGCTTAGAAATTTCAATCGAATAGTGTGATTTGGGCATTAAGGCATTCATATTGCGCCGTTTAGTCCAAATTTTGTTTATTAATTTGGTGATTGAGATGTAGCCCCCATGTCCAAATCTGTATGTGTTATATATTGTGCGGATTCAGCTGTCATGTGTGGATTAATTTGCTGATTGCACAGTTTAGTGGATTAATTCTGCCCAACTCCGCCTATGTTATCTCAACATAGCCGGTCCCAAGCCCGGGTAAAGGAGGAGGGTTTTGATAGGCTTGGCGAGCCAACGTAAAAACTCAGCCACTCTTATGGAGATGAAACCCAAAAGATTTTCGTTGGGGCGTAACCCTCTCAGCGACGCGCCACATCGGAACCCGGGTGTGGTGGAAAATGGGCAAGGGCCGGGTCGTCACCCCTCAAGTGGCGCGCCGTATCTTGATCCGGATATGGTGGCAAGTGAGCGAGGATCGGGTCGTCGCATCCTTAGTGGCGCGCTACATCGGCGCCCGGATGTAGTGGAAAATGAGCAAGGGTCTTCGAATTTGACTCGACGAGTGCGAAGGGTAAGGAAGCTAGCCGAGCCTAGGAGGATTCACTTAGGTAGCTGGAACGTAGGGTCTCTGACAGGGAAGCTTCGGGAGCTAGTTGATGCAGCGGTGAGGAGAGGTGTTGATATCCTTTGAGTCCAAGAAACCAAATGGAGAGGACAGAAGGCGAAGGAGGTGGAGGATACCGGCTTCAAGCTGTGGTACACGGGGACGGCTGCAAACAGAAATGGCGTAGGCATCTTGATGTAGGGTGGAACCCTATAGCGTCGATCTTTCACATTTGGAGTGGATCCTACGGGGAATCACGAAGGACACGCGGAAGCACAAAGGGGAATCACGGGGAGGAACGAGGAAAAACACTCAACCAACAAGGAATCGGTCACACAAGTGCTAGATCGAAGAACACAAAGAGATACACGAGATCCAAAGTCAACAAAGGTAAGGATACAAAGGTAACCAATCTTCTCCGTGAGGAGGCCTTGAATCCACAAGGGGATCTTCCCACGAGGGGGTCTTGAATCCGATAGGATCTGCTCCGAAGAGGCCGCGGTCTCTCACGAGGAGGAGATCTGATGGATGAGCGAAGCTCTATCTCTAACTTGAGCTAAATCAATGCTAACCCTAACTAGGAGGAGGGGGAGGAGTATATATAGTCTTAGCCACGAAGGGGTAAGTGGGGAAGGGATACATGGGCCTTTGGCCCAACTCTGCGCGCAGGCAGGCGCCGGATGTCCGGGCTGGGGGCCGGATGTCCGGGCTCTTGTGAGACGCCGGATGTCCGGGGCGGTTGGCCGGATGTCCGGGCTGAAGTGGCCAAGCTACTGGATAGGGGCGCCGAATTTTCGGGCAGAGCGCCGGATGTCCGGGGGTTGCCGAGGCGCCGAATGTCCGGCCGCTGATGCTTCGGCCGTTTGTTGGTGCAGTTCATGGGCGACTGCACAGGCGCCGGATGTCCGGCCTCTGGCCCGGATGTCCTGCCGCTGTAGCTTCAGCAGCTCCGTCTTCTTCCGTCGTCGCTTCCAGGCTTCCCTCGCGGATGGTGTAGTTGTTCCTTGGTGCTTGCACTCCTCCTCGACATCCGTGAAGCTCCGACAATACCTATGCATGCACACGGGAGAAGTGTCAAGTAGTATACCATCCTCGAAGGGGTCAAGTGAGCACGTGTAAAGGAGAAGATTCACCTTTATGTATAAGAAGTAGAGGTCACACGTGTCACTTGCCAAACAGACTCTTGACATGGTGATGACCGTAGGATGCTCCGCATCATCCCCTCCCCCTTGGAAAAGATCCGACCTCGGATCGAAAATCAAATCACCATGGAAAAGAGATGGCGGTGCCATGTCGAAGTGGTCAGTCACCAAGCACTCATCATCTTGAAACTCGAAATGGGCACTCTCCAATATCGCACCGTCTAGTGATTCCTTCAAAAGAAGCAAGAACAACAAACACTTGGAAAAACAAATGTGGTTAGCGTTAGTGCAAAACCAAACATTCAAGAGGTGATTCACCAAACAAGTGTATGCATCATGCTCATCATAACAAAGGACAAGGGAGCATTTCATAGTATGGAGGCATATGATGCGAGAACAACCAAATGCAATAGGCTCAATCAAACAAGCATGCATCACAAGTATAGTGTCAAAGTCTTCAAGATCAATAAGCATAGTATGGTTGCACTCAATACAAGTGGAGGTGAGAGAGGCAACTAATTGAGACAAGAGACATTGATCAAGATATATCATGTGAGAGGCATGAGCATATATGTCATCAACCCAAGAAAGCAAGTAATAGTGGAACATGGGTGATGCAACATAGCAAGCAATCATAGCGATCAAGTCAAGCAAGCTAGTAGTGCGAAGATGCAACATACTAGAAGGAATCATGGCAAGCATGTCATGTGTGCAAATAGTGGGCATGAATAATTCACATGTCATAGCACAAGCATGAAAGCAAGATATGAGTAAAATGTCATCAATGTATTGGCGAGAGACCATATGTAAATAGCAATGGGGCATCATGACTCTCCCAACACTACAAGCATCAATAGCATGGGGCACATGATAAACATGGCAATAGCAACAAGGATCTCCACCAAGCATGCAAATACACATAGGAGTATCATAATGGTGAATCATGGGTAGATGCAAGCAAGGATCACAATTGCATGGCAAAGGCATAGGAGCAAGCATAGCATGCAATGTGAACACGGTAAAATGAGCATAAGGTGACAAGTGATATATAGCCCATAGCCATGTGAGAGCCAAGTAGAAGAGATGCGCGTAGTCCTTGCACGAAGGGAACGGTGGTAAGGATAGTCCACGGGATCCCAAGTCATCGGTGCTCTCAAGAGCTTGTTTCATCAACTCTTGGGATTGAGAGGTTGTCACGACCGGTCTTTCCGGGTATCAATTTTCAGAAAGAGACCGTCGTGCTCATCAGCCCCAGGATTACTGTTAGCTGATGAGTTTCCAACTTGATACAGAAATTCCAAGCAAATACAAAATATGTGGTACCGGACCATTCTGGTCTGTAAGTACAACAAATGGTTTCTAGTGGTTGATGGCGGAAGCGGGTTGTGAAACACCAGTGTCCATGGAACTCCATTTCCCACGGGAACAGCTGACCAGGTTAACTCCTATCTTCGCGAGGCTGCTGATGGGGTCATGTACCTAGGGTAGGGTCACAGACCTAATCTAAGTACCCTGCCCAAGGACACCCTTAGAAGAGGTCACCTTCCAGTCGACCAACGAGGGACTCACTCGACTGACTTGAAGGACTCGACCACGAAGACTCACTCGACTACCAGGAGGTCAAAAGGCACTCTGCACAGCAACGACCTGTAGTTAAGTAGACTTTATGGTAGTTAAGACACTTTATGTGGGACGTTACCAGTAACGCCCCACACTAAATACACCTTAAACCCTTCATTACGTGGGCTGGCTGGGGTCCTGGCGCACTCTATATAAGCCACCCCCTCCACAGGCAGAAGGGTTCGGCATCCTGTAACTCATATACACATAATCCACTCGACCGCCTTCGGGCTCCGAGAAGTAGGGCTTTTACTTCCTCCGAGAAGGGCCTGAACTCGTACATCTCTTGTGTTTACAACCTCTCCATAGCCAGGACCTTGCCTCTCCATACCTACCCCCCACTCTACTGTCAGACTTAGAACCACGACAGTTGGCGCCCACCGTGGGGCAGGTGTTTTAGCGATTTTGTGGAGAAGTTGCAGTTCTTCCGAGTACTTTCATCATGGTGACTGCTGGAGTTTTGGTTGAGGGTCGAGAGATCCGTCTCGCTGCTCTCACCTTCGTCGACGACGACTCCGCCTGGCTCCAGGAGGCTCCACTCGACGTCGATGCGCTCCCCGTCCGCGGTGCGACGCATTTTCGCGCATGTGTCCGTGGCATTCTGCTGCGGCAACCGTCGACCCCG